ATGTTCTAGTCACATCACAGGACTCAAACCACTCCTGTGGATTCATTGCTGAGGGAAACAGATGCCTGGGTGTGAATTGTGGTTCTTGCCTGTGTCTAAGGACAATTCTACACTGGATGTCACATTTTAATGAACTGTTCACAAAGCACATTCCTTATGTCTGATGTAAAATTGTTACGTTTTTCTGATGTTTTGTAGGTTTTTACCTGCATTACATTTTTTTCTTCTTTTTTTCCTTTTTCCTTTTTTTTTTCTTTTTTTGTTTTCTTTTTCCCCCTCTTCCCAACCCCCTCACCCCCCCCTTTCTTCTTCTTTTACCTTCTGTTTTTTAATCTTAGATTAGGCATGGACTGATTGAAGAAACAGCCTGTAAGGATATTAGAGAAACACATGATACTAAGCTGACAAACCCAAGTGCTTATCTTGTATATTACTGTTGTTTGATAGGATTTTTGAGTACCTGTTAAGTTTCTGGGTTTATCTCAGCAGTCACTGAGAGCTGAGGATGTTTAATGGGTATGCATTATGTTTTGATTGCCAAAAAAACTCAGACTTTGAATTTCCTGTGTTAGAAATTTTGGCATAGGTGAAGAGATTAATTCATAGGATAGTCTGTGGTAAACTGCACCTTTTAAAACAACTTCTTGCTCTAGAAGACTGAATTTGTCATGCTGCAAAGTGCTATGGCTGGGATCACTATTCACAGGCCAGCACTTCCTGCCCAAAATAACTCCACAACCTACTACTTGGTGCTCTGGAGGAAGAAGCTGAGAGAAGGTTATACTCCCTGGTTATGGAAAGTTAAGGCAAAAGAATATAAGCTCATTTGTCTTGTAGAAATTATTATTTCTAGTTGCTGATAGCTTATTGATGACAAAAAATATTTTTCCAGTGCATAAAAATAAGTTAAAATGGCACCTCAAAGTATGGATTTCACATTCTTTTTTTTTTTTTTTGTCTGCTTAGTGCAAATGTTTTTATTCTTAAACCTCAGGCTGTTATTTCCTCAGAATTGAAGTGTAAGCAAGTTTAGAGCAGGTTATTGTTCTGATGGAAGATTCTGAAGGAAATACCAAGTTTTACTGAACATTATTAGTTGGTTCTTATGACTGTCCAGGGCCGGAGAGAAAAGGACTATTACACTTTGGTGGTGTTTCTTTTGGGACAATTCCTGTGGAGAAACAAAGCTGAGCAACTAAAGAACCTGAACCTAAAAGACAAGACCAATGAGGTTGACAAATCAGCATACTGCTATTCTGGCTCCAGTTTTCCATGTAGGGAATTCATGAGCTGCTTTCTCCCCTACGCCTGGCTACAAGAGGTCCAGTGCTCACCAGACAGCATTTCTCTTTAGGAATAGTATGGTTACGGCGATAAGACTCAAGGTCTGGCAGTGACATGTGATGAAAAAGTAGCTGGCTGAAGCTGAGAATAAATAAGACAGATGTTATGTTGCTAGGAAAAAAGAATGACCTTCAAAGAACTGATTATGCTGCTGGCCTTTCAGTACATTGAAAATGATTCTCTACCAGTTTTTAAAGTAATGTGATACTTCAGATGCCTGTGACACTCCTGTGTGTGGCTATGTAAACAGTGTCCCTCTGGCAACTTGCTTGGTTCTGACATAGACAGCTGTTTGCAAAGACTGGGACATCTAACAGACGCTGTGAAATGCTTTACAATTTGTAGATATTCTCGTGGTGCAGAAACATAGAATTAACTTTCAATCCAATCTCTCTTCTGAAGCTGATAAAATAAATGAAAACCTTGTCCTATTTGCGCATTGCTGCTTTGAGTCTGGTTAAATTAATAGAGGTTAAGCAAGGTCTTGACTGAATCCTGTGATCATTTACCTTTAAGTAATCAACTCTTTAGATCTCTTGCAGGAAAAAAAAAATGGTTAGGTATGACTTCAGTATTCTCTGTTGGAAAAGGTATGCGTTCACAACATTCGTTAGGCACCTTAATTGTGCTAGGTGCAGGATGAGTGGCGTGCTTAAGGTTCTGGTGTGGCTGATATGGAGAAGACAGTAACTTCATGCAGTGAAATTTGAATACTGCGAGTTGGATGCCTAAAGTATGCATTGTAAACTCCTTTGTAGATACTTGTTTTTTCACCTCCGTTTAGTGATTGTCTTTTTTGTTACACAGTCTGTAGATTAAGTGAATGTTTAAGTATCATATCAATGTTAATAGTAATTACGTTGCATTTTGTGGTTACACGTTGTTCAGAACTTTTAGTGTAGTTTTGTTTCACTAAAATATGGAGGAGTATTATTATCAGCACTTGGTATCTGTGTCTACATGAAAGTTCACTTCTCTCTACCTCAAAAGTAAGAATAGTGTCTGTGAAGGATAGCTTCAGCACATTTCTGCAAATCACTGTCTTGCAGACATGTCAAGTTTTCTACTGGAGTATTGCTGCTGCTGTTTAATTTTTAGTGTTAGTCCCCATGAGTGTAGCGCCAGATTCAGACATACAAAGAATAGCCCATATCCAAATCATAGTTTAGATAGTTTGACAGCTGTCAAATACATTTTTTTTTCCTACCTCAATGTTACAATATATGCTGCTCTCCAGGGGAGACAAAAGCTTTCTGTAGATAACCCTATTGCTTGGCTTCTGTTGAGATGGCTGAGTGCTGCTGAACTGTGTCCTAAAAATTACTGTGGCACATAAGCCTGTACAGTCACTCGTGTCTACTGTTGGGCTCTTCCAGAATCCTTAGTGTTGACAGAGCAAAAGTAGTTGAAATGAATGCCTTCGCTTGTTGTCACTCATAGCTCCTCATTTACTGTTCAACTCACTATTGTATCATCATTCTCCTCATTAAATGTTTAATTACTTTAATAGGCTTTCCTGATACCTTTTTTCCCCAATTATGAAGTGTTTGCCTGATGGTTTGGAGGTAACTGAAAGACCTTATCATACTCAGAAATGAGCAACTGCCATGAACAGAAACTAGGAGCTGCAGGGCTAAGTTAGAAAGAATGGGCAAAGGTTTAGGTATTAGTACCAAGATACTTCAGTGAGAAGGTATAGGATTATACTAGAACTGATAGTTCTGCTAGTACTCATTAATGGAACAGAAACCTTCAGGGATAAAAGCAGCATTGAGTCAAATTCCTTCCTTATTTAAACAATGTTAATTTGACATTTGTGTGTGTATTTGATTTACAGTTGCTTTTTTCCTTTTCATTCTTTCAACAATGATTCTTTAGGAGAGAAAATTTAGTCCATTGCCTTGACTGTTGCAAGAGAAGGGTTATTTTCAGATACAAGTGTTAAATCTGTTGAATTATTCTTGTTTTAATTAGTTCTTCTTATTGTCTTGAAAGGGGCTGACAACATCAGGAAATACTGGAGTCGTTACTACCAAGGATCCCAAGGGGTAATATTTGTATTAGACAGTGCCTCCTCTGAAGATGATCTAGAAACTGCTAGGAATGAACTGCATTCTGCTCTCCAGCACCCACAGTTGTGTACTTTGCCGTTTTTAATACTGGCCAATCACCAAGACAAGCCAGCAGCTCGCTCCGTACAAGAGGTATGTTGACATGGCAGCGTCTTGCCTGTTTGTGTTTGCTGTCCGTACACCACTGACCCAGTGCTACTTATTACCCTGACATCCTAGTTAAGGACTGGCCTCAGTTACTCTTTGCTGTAAGTACACAGCCCAAGAACAGTCGCAGCCCCCAAGAACTTGGTCCAATGCGCTCCATACAGGCTTAGCTGTTCTGGAAAACAGACAAGTAATACTTGGATACAAACAGCTCTCCTGCTTTCACCATATTTTGCTTAAGGGAGGAAAGATGTTTTTAAACTACTCTTATCAAAAGCTGCTGGGACAGTGATTTTTTGTTTAGCTTGTTTTTCTATTTGCTATTAGTTTTAATCTTGCACTACCCCATTACTCACTCCATTCTTTGCAAATGCTTAAAGCAATAGATTTGCAGCCATAGGTTGTCTTTTATGTAAAAGCTTTTTTTTCTGAACTGCTGTGTACTGACGTTGAGGGCAGAGTTGCAATTCCTGTTCTGAAGTCCTTAACTTGTTCTGATTTTCTTTCAAGAGTACTGTCTTTGTCTAATTTGTAGCTGTCACACAGTAAGTTATATAATTGTTCTAGTTGTGTACCTCTTGATCTCAAGTTTCTGAAAAATTCATCTTACCTATGTCCCAACGGTCTCACATACCTTTGAAGAAATGCTAGAAGTTCCTGATTCTTCATGAGAAACTTTACTTATTCTTCTGAAATCAAGAAAGACGTTAATATTTAGTTGTGTAATTCCTTTCATAAATGTCATTTAAAGGACTCTTCCTATTAAAGATTGTATGTGAAATCTGTTTTGTTCTTTGAGTGTTGTTTTTTATTACAGCAGAGTGAAAACTGTTTCAGCACCTTACTGTGTTGCTGCTTTGTATTTAAACTTGTTGCTTCCTTAGGCATATATCTTTGTCTAAATTACGATCTTTCTGAACAATGCCAATTTGATTCAATGCAAATCTTACTGATTTGTAGGATAAGAGCTATTTGTACAATAGAGTTGTATGTACTTTCTGTACTGCTTTATTGCCTCCTGCCTTAGCCAAAAGAAACAAAGGATAAAAAGTTAAGCTTATTATGTGTTAGGAAGGATAAGTGTAAATGTGACTGGAGTATAGTGATGTTTTAATATGAGAAGAAGAGTGTAAGTGAGAACTGTAAATTACACCAAAAAAGTTTTGTTAAGCTGTTGGTCTTTTCCTCTGGGAATTCATGTTTAGGTAAAAGAAAATGAAAAAAGAAATTGGATTTAATACATCAAGTTCCATAAAAAGATAAAATGAGAAGATGCAAGGTTAGAATCTACAAATCCTGGCTTTCTTGTTTATCTTAAAAAAGTTTAGGAAGCAGTAGTGAATAATTAAAGGAAACGTAATACAGATTTTTATATATCAGTTTATTAATTTCTTCCAATTTTTGATACAATGTAAAAGCGTGTATTCCTAAAGTTTCTACTTAAAAAATTACAGAATCTTGAGACGTAAGTGGTTTTATTTTATTCGTACAAATATACCCAAGGTTTTTTGATTTTTACTTTTTTTTCACAGAGCAATACAGATTGCAGATTAAGCTAGAAATGCTTCTTCACGTGATTCAATATTTTTTAGTTGACTATTTTTTGCTCTTTAAAATGGCCAAACTTGGTTTAAAGTTAATTGAGGATTTTCTTTCTAGTATCATTTAAGACATGTTTCTCATCTGGTTTCATAAGAATGGTGAATGCAATGACAATTAGTTATATTTGTAACTGCCTGTTTTGCTCTTGAGCCCAGGTGGATAGATTTTTGGGCCTGAACAGAATCTTCCGTGTATTTACAGTTAGTGTTTCTTCTCTTTTATTGGTAGCACCATGGTTTTCTCTTCATCCACTGTTACCAATTGCTTGATATGTCAGCTGAGGAATAAATCTTTACATGCTTACAATGGCATTTAA